ATGTCCTCTGACTCATTGTCTTCTTGCTGCGTATCAGTGTCTTCCTCTTCAGGCACTGTTGGCATAGGGGGTTCAGCTGGCGCTGCAGGTCTGATGTCACGTCGCTTGGTAGTGGAGGCTTGCTTGGGCTCTGGTGGCTTCTGTTTCTGGCGCTGATGGATCACAGTTGCAACACCACTTTCTTCAGGACTCATCATCGTCACTCTTGTTGTCGTCCAAGGTCTGCTCCTGCTTGTTGTAGAGGCTCACATAGTGTAGTGGCATAGATACTGCAGCTGCTGTTGCAGTCTGTTGTTGTCCACCAGTGCTGCTCTTTGGGCTGTACACTGCATTGGTGCCTTTTATCTCGTTCTCGAGCACTACAACCAGCCTCCTTGTGTCCCCTTTCGCCATAATAGCTGCAATTGCCTTCAAACTTCTTCTTGCCATCAAACTTGCCTTTGGCGCCTTTCTTTCCTGTCTTTGCCTGCATCTTTGCTGTTCCACTTTCCTTTGCCCTTGTCTTTGCCGTTTTGTTCTTTGTCCACATTGCCAACGTCCAAGGGCTGCGGGCCATCATTGCTGCTCTTGCTCAGCAATCCTTGGGAGTCACGGATTTATATAACCACTCTGCAAATAGTCCTTGATGCATTTCCTCAGGGCTTCATAGTTGGCCCCAATGCTTGAACTCGATGTCCTCAAAGCGGTCTGGATGCTCTTTGGGGCATGCTTCATCACCACTGCACAGTTTGTGGACGAGGTCACATCTGCACCAGTCCGATCTTCATATCTTCTTTGCAAGAAACTCCCACGCGTCCAAGGCTTCCATGAAGTCTGCTTCCTTGATGTTGCTCCATGTTGGGCTGATCACGCCCATCAACATGGCTGTTTGTCGTCCTCCCATCATTGGTTCATAGGCGCCCATACTGCACGCTCAACAGGTTGAAGTAGGACGTAGTCCTCCATGGCACCCGCTGCGCGCACCACGTCCGGTTGGGAGCGCCTGGGCCTCTGTCACCAGGTCTTTACCGTCCCGAGGGCCGCCATGGCAGGTCCGTGGTCTTACCTTACCCTCTCTGAGACTCTGCCCTGAGTTTACCCCAGAGCTCCGCTACCATGCAGCGGAGTGGCGCACCACAGAGAGACCCCTCTCTTCTCTTGAGGATTCAAAGGGTTGTATGGTCATGTACACTCTCTCATGTACACCGTTGCACACACACACAGAATAGGTTCCTGCGAACTACCGCCAACTTCCGTGACTGATCGTCTTTCAAGTGGCCAGCAGGGTGCGTTCCTCGCGCAACAGCCTATCCATCTGTGCATAGTCCCGCACCTGAAAAAAAGTACAACGAACCAAAGTCTTGCACTGCTGCTGCCTCACCTGGATGTTGCTCTCCATGTCTGTCTTTGGTGCAGATAGGCAGAACTGGATGAGTCCAATTTTGGCATCCTGAAATTCACAAAGATCATGCTATGACGTAATATACTGTTCTGGCAGTTGAATGAGGCCAACCTGGATGCGAGATGGGCCACCTGCAACTCGAGACCTCGAAAGGCAAGGTCTTGTCTTGAGTACCGTCTAAAGACTCCACCTAAAAGCCGAAACATCCTTGGAATCCTGGTCGCCTTACGAGACCCATGCTGGCAGTCCGAATCATTAAACAGATCTCACCTCAACAATCCAACATAGTAGATTCTGTCTTAGTCCTCCTCTCCCCTATGCATGTACATATATATTATGTATGCACATGACTTTGCGGTCTTGTACAAACATTCTCAATCTGAGCATCCCGGCACTTTCTGTGTGAGCACGAGGCCGTCCACCAGCTCAGTGTCATCAGTCGTGGCTCCCAACCTCTCCGCAACACTCACTATCATAGTCACAGTGAGAGGACATGTGGCCCTGCAAGAGATGGATTTTGGGTTGAAGCGTGACAAATGGTCGAGGGCCACTGCGGAAGGGTGCTTTATGCAACCAGGCAACTTCTTCACTAGCCTGATGTCATTGAGGTCAACGTTGGCAGCAGTCTTGGGATCTGTCACCTGACAATACCATTTGCAACCTTTCTTCAACAATCTTCAACACATGTTTGGACTGATTGTCCCACTGCTGTCCTTCAGCACGGCATCCACTGCAATGGGGGCTAAGGTCTCAGATTCCTGCGACACGACCTTGGGCAAGATTCAGTCCAGTGATAGAAACTCATGAAACTCACCTGCAAAGTCCAAACTTGAGTAACGTGAGCCCTTGACTCCAGAGTCCAGTCTTGTCAGTCCAAGCTTCGCACTCCGACAGCACTAAATTGCTCGATTCAAGTTGTTAGCTGATGCGGCCCGGCCTTGGAATTCAAGGAGGTGATCGCAGCCTGCAAGAGGTGCTCTCGGTCAGCCAAATCCTCAATGCAATGAAAAGCGCCGTCGAACTCTCTGAGACGAAGAGGGCAAAGCGGCACGCCGTTTTCTTGGGTGCTCGTGATCGACCGAAGTCATTTTGACTCCCAATTTGTTACCTCCAACCTAAGAGCCATGGCCTCCAACCTAGAAGCAAAGGGATGTAAGACTACTTGTAAGACTCAAACAGTCAAGTTGACAAGATCTTCATTGTAACGTCAGCATGTGTACTCTCCAATTTGAGACACCTGCAGAGTTTGGGGGACAAGTTAGTCGAGGATCGACTGGCTGTGCCACCGCATCCAAAACCTCTTCTGCTTTATGTGCTGCCTGAAGGAACGCCTGAAAGCATTCATCAAGACTGCCAAAAGAAGGATTAATAATGAGGAGACGATGTCCAATCTATCCATCTTTGCACGATGATATGCCTCTGTGATGGTCTGCGGGTGAATGCCTTTCTTCAACCTCGTCAAATGGGGTGATGAGACTCTGAGACGGGACACGGACTTTTCAAGAACTGCCATGCTAGCAACAACTAGCACTGTCATGCTAGCAAAACTGTGCACAGCTTGGAAGATCACCTGTTCAAAGAAAATCGATAAATCATAATCTAACAGAATCAAACACGTCTGATTGATGGACTCTCGATCACTGGGGCTGGAGAATCCAAGCAATATCATACTGCATGATTTTGTGAACTGGTGGTCTGATTGACGATGGCCAACTCACTCTCACTGTTCAAGTCAGTGTTCCTCTGTTCTAAGCTTGGAACAGCCGCTCTGCCGCGTGCAGCAAAGCACCGGCAATTACCACCACACTGGTTGTGCCATCACCAGCCTCAATATCCTGGCATCAAGGTAACGTTTTTGAATATTCCTCGACCTGAACATGAGCCCTTCAATTTCCTCGTGACAATCTTGCCTTTGCTCTGAATGATTCAGCCCCTAAAAATGAAATGAGCTATAGCCTATAGGCCAAAGGCTCTTTTATCTTCCTACAGCATCTAGTTGGCCACTTCATGCGTCCTGCCTGCGCCTTGGACAACTCTGCCATCATCTTGGCAGTTGGGTGCTGTAATTTCAGCTTCCTTAGGAAAAGGAATTACGAAGGAACAATCAATTGCTAGGGAGACACTTGCCACGGTGAACAACTTTATCTTGGAACTTTCACCCAAATGGAGATCAGGTGTCAAATTGGTTGTCCATGGTCATCCACCAGTCGCGCCGTGGCGTAAAGGGGCAATTCATTGACGACCAATTGGCCAAGTGACGACAAAATGGTGGCGCCATCATTTGAGATCAGCACCTCACCTGGCAAGCACATGGTGCTTAATATATACTGGTACCACTGGCAGGGCTGCGAACACATGACCAGAGAAGGGTAGAGTGGTTTTCCCAATTGTGCAAGAGCTTCAGAAATCCAAAGGATATGACTTCATGTAACACTACAGGATACCTTTTGCGAGAACCAACGGTAGTAGCGCTAATCTCTTCTAAAGGGCCCCGCTTCACACCTCGGGGCTCTTGGATCATTTTGTCCATGCCCTTTGGTCCAAGAGATGTCCTGGGCATCGCTACCGAGTTCGAGCAACAGCCATGCAAAGACTTTCGAGGCTCACGGAACTGGTGCACAAAAGAACGTATGCCTGCGACTTTGACCTCAGTTCCTCCAGACAAAAAAAAAGCTAGAATCTAGACACAACAACATAGTTATATATATATATTTACAGTATAATAAGCCTGAACCCTTCTGCATCCAAGCCATCGAAGCCTAAGAAGTTATTTAGGCATACTTGAGCTACTAGTAGCTTACCAACCTACTCATACGGCCTACCTAACCCCCGCCTTTTAAAGAAAAACGCTCCTGACAGTGTCGCTTACAGCTTTGGCCGCCAAGATGTTTGAAAGGCGGACATCTTGCCTTCAGACTGGGGCAGCCAAGCAACATCCACAATGCAAGACAAGGTTCAAGAGGTGGTAGACGGTCTGTTTGAGAGTCAAATTAGTAGATTCATGCTCATGAACTTGCTTGTGTGGGTGATGCCTGCCATCTTTGTGCCATCCCTTGAGCAACCGAATGCCGCCAATGGGAGGGTAAGTGTAGTTCCCCTAGCGCAACCTGGGGCCCTCACCCCTTCTCATCGTTGGCCTGTCGTGTGAACTTAGATAAACTGAGCGTTTGGGCTCTCTCCATACAAGACAATGTCGTGATGTGGCCTTAAAGCTGATTTGGATCTCTACACAGTCTACACACTATATAATAGTTGATTTTGCTGCCAAATAACGTTTCTGTTCGGGTGTCAACATCAAGTCCACACCTTCTGCTTGCCGCCAGTTTCAGGCGCCGTCATGGCCGCAAGGGACAGGACACCAGGTCTATTTGACACCGTATCTACAAAAGGCAGCGGGCCACTTTCCGAATGAAGCCGCGATGGTGGGGGACAATGTGTAAGACTTGATAGAGGCTTTACTTGAGGAGTCTTTGCCCAAGGTTTCCATTGAGGGGTTCCAGCTGAGCCTGTTCACAAGAGACTTGAACATGTGGTAGAATTTAATGGTCCTCTAAGTCCCTAAGTATTATGAAACATAGAATGCTCGGTCATAGCTTAGTATGCGGGCTGAGTTGCAAACAACATCGGAAGTCGCAGCCAATCGCCTGCAAATGGCGTCCAAAAGTGTGAGAAAGGGTATCCGTGTGCAGCCCCATTACAGCAGGATACTAGGAGCAAGGACGCTACTAGGGGCTAATGTTGAAATTCTGTAGTGACGTCAAAAGATCCGATTTCTCATGCGAGGTATCTTAAGGGGACCCCCTCTCACAGGCGGGCTGGAATATGTAATTGTTTATTCTGACCATCTTCCACATAGATGCTGAATATTATTTCAGTATGTCATGTCACATTGTAGAAGAATTTGCTTGCAAGTGACATCTTGATATGATTCAGCTTTCAATCCATGTCCGAGAGAGCAGCTGTGCTGCGCGGATGCCCAACCTTTTCCACCCCATCAAAACACTGCTCAGATCAATCGGTGTGAACCCCCATCAATTGAACATGTGTTCAATAGTTTTCAGAATGTTTCAGAACTTGAATGCTTCGCTTGGTATGCATCTCATGTGTGAACCTGTTGCAAAGTTACAGTATTCCTAAATTGTTCTACACTCTATGGGTGATACCTTGACTCACTACCTTGCTTAAATTGCTTAAATATTGTTCCAGGAGCTCACCTCTCCCCGTTCGGCCAAAGGAAAAACATGTTTGGTATCAGGACACGACGATACTGTGAAATGGGTGTCGACATGAGCCTCCATTTTGCTGTGTGTTCCGGTGCATGGGGTCTAGAATCAGGAACACTACATCGCTGTAACATTGTAAAGAAAGCCGGCAGCCTTTGAATTTCTTTTGATAAATGCAAGCGGCCAAACGTATACACAAACAAGGACGCCGTCTGCTACAGATCGATTCCTTCACCAAACAGTGCCATCAAAATCAAGTAGGAGCGTTGATAATGGTGATCCCAAGAAAATACTGCAAGTACAAGCATGAGGAGCCATCGTAAGTGCCTGCAAAGGTCTTGCCCTTTGGGTGTCTGTGCATCCAAGGCAATGGAGCGTTTTCCTAAATTGCAGCCTGAGAAGATTCAATCAAAAAGCAAACAAGCATGCAAACTCAAAAAGGCCCTGAAATTGATCTAGATTTGCAATGCCAAACTAAAATCACCGGCATGGATATTGAATGTGTGAAACCAACCATCTCAAAGGCGCGCTCTCTATCTCAATCCAGAGACTACTCAGTCCGAAGTGTCAAGATTACACATCTGAAATCCAAATGTACATCTTCAAGGCAAGTTAAGTTTCGCTAAAAAGTACAGGAACCAAATGAATAGTGCGAGCGTGAGCTATCCTGCATCCTAGCTAGTAGCAAGTTTTGCTTTAAAAAATGTTAAATCTTCAAGGTCCAAAAGGATCCAAAAAGCATGTTTGCCAAGGGGCAAGCAAAATAGGAGCTTGGCTTGCTCGGATCATCCCCTCGCAATCGCCAGCTGCGTGTGACATCACCGCCTGTCCTCGCATGGGCACACATTTGCATGACACCGTGGAAACTGCTGATTCTTCCGAGTCATGAACTATCTGAGCACCGGTCTTTCTGTTCTCCACCTCGCATTTGCATGCACAACCGAAAACCCCCATCAACTCACAATGCCTTCAACATCAATTTCGCAAGCCTGGCATGCACTTGATGCTGGTGCTTTTCTTTGGAGTGTCGTTAGTCTTGCCAATGTAAGTTTTGAGAGATTGCTGAACGACCGAAGAGCTGCTTGTGTTGGTCGCGTACTTCCCTTATTGAAGCAAAGAACAATGGCATGCTTGTTTTGCTCAATGATTTGAATGCTTCGCAGGTTTGATGGAGCTTGGCAATTTGCAGACCGTTGGCCAGAGTACTCTTGGCAAAAAGTCTGTAGGTCATGGCCTCCACCGGCACGCTGTCAGTATGTCCCCAATTGTCCCCGTGTTAAACTGTTAGGCAGTGCACTGGGCATTCCTTAACATGTGATGGATGGCCAAAATGGAGAAGGCCTTTGCCGTTGCTGAGGTGGCGCTTTCCATGAAAGGCTCCCCAAGAAGTTCTCAAATTTCAGCTTCCAGAAAATTCAGATTGATGCTAAAGCACCAGGCACCAGGCCAATAATAATGAGCACATCAAACACCTACCTTTCATTCAATCACCAGGATACTGCACAATAATTTATTTAAGGGCTGCCGCCCCTGCCGCCGACCCCGGATTCTCAGGTCCGGCTTTTCCTCCACTGGTTGGCATTGCGAGGGTTTTTCGAACAGGGGTTTCAGTCGTCCTTTTAAAGGTTGCTCTTCTGGAATCGTCGTTTCTTTCCGGTGTCGAGGTCCGTGCCCGTGCGGAGCGTTTCATTGCCTGCTCTCTGGATTGTTTGCTAGCATTTTCCACCACTAACCAGCCTCCCAAAAAGCATCTGA